AATGCTGGTAAAATAATCAAAATCTTGAGAAAGTGAATTATTTATTACTTTGGTCATAAACGTACTTTAAAGTTTAAACAAGGTTTATTGATCAATATACATATTCCCCTAAAATTTTAAACTAATCGTACTAGTAGTAGACGTTTTGTATTTATTATTTAACAGACTGTGAGTATCCCTACGTATTATAGTTATTATGTATTGTAAATTTCTTTTTGTCATAAATACTAGTAAATATTTAGTGTTACCACTCATTTAAACACAATGTTTAATAGCCATTGTGTGTTTTTGCACATAACCAATGCTGCCTGACTGTATTTTTTTCATAAGAACTTGGCTTACTTAATACTAAATACATTCAATACAATTAAATACATTAAACAATATCTACAATAAACGCAAAATCAATTAACCATGAACTACATTTCTATTTTTTACTAATGTACATCACTTCCTTATGATTTATATATAAAAAACGGAAATTAAAAAAAGAATAAAACCAAATTTGAAATAATGGTGGGTAAAGCGAAAAGTAAATAAACAAACATGCATATATATAAGAAGGGTTTGAAATAGTTTCCTTGGTTTTGAAATAAATAGATGAAGTTGTAAACTGAAAATAAATGTTAAATTCAGCATTGATATATTTATAATTTACAATGCTGGTGTTAACATTTTGTATTAGGCCATACATATTAAAGCTCCCTAACAAATGTTATTTGAATATTTATTTTATTTTATTTGAATATTTTTTAATTTGCTCACTTTAATGCGCATTTCAACTTGAACTATTAAATGAAAAAAAAAAAAAAATAATAACTTTACTGTATTGTGGTTAATTTTATCAAAGAATAATTTGAAAACTATAACAATAAAACTATTTACAAAATTTTCTCTTTATCCAGATATAGATTTTATATTTTAAATAAATTTGAATATTAATAATGTATAATTTTTAGATGTATTTTAAACAAATAAAATATTAAGTACAAATACAAACATACAATTAAAATTTTTAAATACCAAAAAGAATATTTAAAAGTGAAATAGACGATTTTTCTTTTACTATTTTTAATGTGTAATATAAGGATTTGGCCATTTACATATAAACGTATGAGTAATGTCACTTATAATTAATATTACTCATACGTTGGTGTACTAAGAACGAGAGAACGAAATTTAGATTATGACTGAAGATATTTATGAAGAAAACAACATTCAATTCGTTAATTACTTAAAAAACTTTGCAAATTTAATTTCAACGTATTAGTAATATAAATAATAATTGAAATCACTCATTCGTTGATCTAATTTGTTTTTAATATTAGAGAGCTCTATGGCATCGAATTTGTTAGTGCACTATAACTTCATATTTCTTCAGCGTATGACTTATATTACTTATACTCATATGAATATTTACTACAAGTTTCTCATCTTTGATTTGAAGAAATTTTCAAATTTTAATCTTTCACTTTTAAATGTTCTCACACACGCTTGTAGTTTCCTTTACTACTTTCATTGCTAATTCCCAGATTCTTTTTAAATAATCTCTTTAAAAAACGTACCATTTCAAAATAGTTGTATTTGTGTTTAAAAACTGTATTTTATAAGATACTGTGATCACATGGATGTTTGTTTTTTCTTTCTCTTCTATATAAATAATTTATTTTAAATAAAAATTTTAGTTTTATGTAACAGAAATGTGATCATATTGTTCTTTAGCTCAGCTTTATTTTAGTTTGTTTTTTTTTAATTATATTTCAATATTTTTTTTGCATTTTTTGCACACTGCGTCTTACTTTAGAATTATTTTTAAATTACCAATGTGAATGTTTTAATAAAATGATAAATAATTAAAAAAAAATAAATAACAATATTAATATTAACAATACCAGTAATGACAGAAAAAATAAAAGTAAATACTACATTTGTAAAACTGTGTGTATATACATTAACATTAAATAATTTACTTCCTATATAATCGTTAATACTACTTACATATTTATATATTTCTAATTGTAAGAGCATTGTTTTTTTTTCAAATTAATTAGTTACTATTATTAATTTTTTGTTAAAATTCTATGTATTTTTCACTGCGTTCTGTTTTTTGTGAATTAATGTTTGCTAATTTATATATTTTGCTGTTTAAAACTTTTAATTACAAACAAAATTGTGGTTAAATTTTTGCGGAGAATAAAAACTATTTTAAAGTGAATAAGTAATCAGATATTGCTTGTTACTTATTTTTTCATAGGTATTTAAACAGGAGCAGATTCACAACCTTAAAGAACCGTATCAGGTTCCTCTTATAGCTAGTTATTTAGATCAGCATGACTTAAAATGGTTCAGTTCTAGTTCAGTTCTAGTTCAGTTCTAGTTCAGATCTAGTTCAGTTCTAGTTCAGTTCTAGTTCAGTTCTAGTTCAGTTCTAGTTCAGTTCTAGTTCAGTTCTAGTTCAGTTCTAGTTCAGATCTAGTTCAGTTCTAGTTCAGTTCTAGTTCAGTTCTAGTTCAGTTCTAGTTCATTTCTAGTTCAGTTCTAGTTCAGTTCTAGTTCAGTTCTAGTTCAGTTCTAGTTCAGTTCTAGTTCAGTTCTAGTTCAGTTCTAGTTCAGTTCTAGTTCAGTTCTAGTCCAGTTCTAGTTCAGTTCTAGTTCAGTTCTAGTTCAGTTCTAGTTCAGTTCTAGTTCAATTCTAGTTCAGTTCTAGTTCAGTTCTAGTTCAGTTCTAGTCCAGTTCTAGTTCAGTTCTAGTTCAGTTCTAGTTCAGTTCTAGTTCAGTTCTAGTTCAGTTCTAGTTCAGTTCTAGTTCAGTTCTAGTTCAGTTCTAGTTCAGTTCTAGTTCAGTTCTAGTTCAGTTCTAGTTCAGTTCTAGTTCAGTTCTAGTTCAGTTCTAGTTCAGTTCTAGTTCAGATCTAGTTCTAGTTCAGTTCTAGTTCAGTTCTAGTTCAGTTCTAGTTCAGTTCTAGTTCAGTTCTAGTTCAGATCTAGTTCAGTTCTAGTTCAGTTCTAGTTCAGTTCTAGTTCAGTTCTAGTTCATTTCTAGTTCAGTTCTAGTTCAGTTCTAGTTCAGTTCTAGTTCAGTTCTAGTTCAGTTCTAGTTCAGTTCTAGTTCAGTTCTAGTTCAGTTCTAGTTCAGTTCTAGTTCAGTTCTAGTCCAGTTCTAGTTCTAGTTCAGTTCTAGTTCAGTTCTAGTTCAGTTCTAGTTCAATTCTAGTTCAGTTCTAGTTCAGTTCTAGTTCAGTTCTAGTTCAGTTCTAGTCCAGTTCTAGTTCAGTTCTAGTTCAGTTCTAGTTCAGTTCTAGTTCAGTTCTAGTTCAGTTCTAGTTCAGTTCTAGTTCAGTTCTAGTTCAGTTCTAGTTCAGTTCTAGTTCAGTTCTAGTTCAGTTCTAGTTCAGTTCTAGTTCAGTTCTAGTTCAGTTCTAGTTCAGTTCTAGTTCAGTTCTAGTTCAGTTCTAGTTCAGTTCTAGTTCAGTTCTAGTTCAGTTCTAGTTCAGTTCTAGTTCAGTTCTAGTTCAGTTCTAGTTCAGTTCTAGTTCAGTTCTAGTTCAGTTCTAGTTCAGTTCTAGTTCAGTTCTAGTTCAGTTCTAGTTCAGTTCTAGTTCAGTTCTAGTTCAGTTCTAGTTAAGTTCTAGTTCAGTTCTAGTTCAGTTCTAGTTCAGTTCTAGTTCAGTTCTAGTTCAGTTCTAGTTCAGTTCTAGTTCAGTTCTAGTTCAGTTCTAGTTCAGTTCTAGTTCAGTTCTAGTTCAGTTCTAGTTCAGTTCTAGTTCAGTTCTAGTTCAGTTCTAGTTCAGTTCTAGTTCAGTTCTAGTTCAGTTCTAGTTCAGTTCTAGTTCAGTTCTAGTTCAGTTCTAGTTCAGTTCTAGTCCAGTTCTAGTTCAGTTCTAGTTCAGTTCTAGTTCAGTTCTAGTTAAGTTCTAGTTCAGTTCTAGTTCAGTTCTAGTTCAGTTCTAGTTCAGTTCTAGTTCTAGTTCAGTTCTAGTTCAGTTTTAGTTCAGTTCTAGTTCAGTTCTAGTTCAGTTCTAGTTCAGTTCTAGTTCAGTTCTAGTTCAGTTCTAGTTCAGTTATAGTTCAGTTCTAGTTCAGTTCTAGTTCAGTTCTAGTTCAGTTCTAGTTCAGTTCTAGTCCAGTTCTAGTTCAGTTCTAGTTCAGTTCTAGTTCAGTTCTAATAATTTCAGTTCAGTTCTATTAATTTTGAATCGGAAAAGAAATTTCTAGAACGAAAATAATTATTATTGTTCTTTTATATATTTTAATTTTCACCTTTCTATGTTTGCATTACAAAATATAATTTTGATTTAAATTATTGTTATTTTCTCTTGGTTTAAAAAATCTTTACATTGTAATTCGTAGTGTGCAGTTAATGCAAAAAATTATATTGATTATAATTTCGATATAAATAATTTTTTAAAGTACCTAAATGATTAAATAGAAAAATGAAAAAACACATGAAGTATTGATTAAATTGTATTTGTAATTTGTAACTGTTTAATTGTATGTGTGTATATAATAAATACTATATAAACGTATTAATTAATTAAATATTATAAACTAATTTTAATATTGCATTTTGGCATTTATATTACATATTATTTTCTTTTTTCGTTTTTTCTTTCTTCTTCATATATTTATTGAATCAAAAAACCAAAAAACAAAAAAAAAAAAATGAAACAAATATTTATTCTATATGTATGTGTGGCAAAAACTAAAAAAAATCTAAAATTATATATATACATATACTACATACGTATATATACTACATATATGTATTACTGTAAATGTTAATGCATAATCAAATAAAAAATAACTATTATTGGGTTGTGTTTGTTTATATATACTTTTTTTCAACTACAATACTACCACCCACTCTACCACTGCATTAAATTAAAAAATAAAAACTTAACTAATTTAAATCATAAAAAATATATAATTTGAATTTTTGACTTAAATTGATAAAAACTTAAACAAAAATCCCAATATATATATATAAATCAAACTACCAGCGATGTACAGACAAGTAATAATGGAAGTTGTTCTACTAGTAGCAAAGAAAATCACTACAATAACAACAACAATAATAATTCCCATTTAAATCATGCTAATAATAATAATCAACAACATCATCACTATCACCACTACCATCAAAACAATTACCACCATCACCACCACCACCTCCATCAAAATAGTATTAATAGTGACAGTGGCGGTGATTTCCAACCTCACTGTTCAGCACACACAGATCTCCCGCAACACAATCAGTATTCTTCGTCAACTACTTCTTCGGCGGTGTTGACATCACTACATAATTCTTCTGATTCATTGCACTGTTCTAGTCCTTTAGTTCACCATCAATCCCAACAATCGCCCCTTTCACCATTAAGAAATTTGTCAAACATAACAAATTTACAACCCACCTCAATTAGTACGATTGTCAATGCAAATAAAACGAATAGTTTAAAGATTTCTAACCTATTATCCTCTCCGGATTTGCGTTTAACTTTAAGAGCTCTATCGCCGAATAGTGCAAGAAATACCAACACAAATCATATCATAATGTCCCCACGTCTTAGTCAAACAAATGCCCAAAATATACCACCACCCTCTACCAATACCCAGTCTCACACACAGCCCCGGCAACACCTCCGCATCAGTAGTTCTTATGCTAATACTAACAATAATAGTAGTAATAGTCCTTATACACAACAACAACAACATACAAGTATTTCCTCTTCCTCCTCTACCCCAAATAATCGACAACTACATCCGCCAACACAATACAATAATATACAACTACATCATTCTCATCCTCCAACTCACCACCACAATTCTTATACTCACCACCATTATCACAATGTCCAATTGTCAAAACAAACATCACCTTCACCACCAACTAATCACCAATCCCCCCTTCCGCTAACAAATTCAACAACAACTTCAAACTTACATACAACAACAAATAGTAACTGTACTGATGATGTGAATGTAAATTCTTGTAATGACATGATTCCTCAACATGCACAACAACAACGCCATCTCCAACAACGTCTCCACCACCATCAACGATCTCGCCAACAATCTCAACAATGTAATACGATGTCTTCCTTATCAACAACAACGATGATGTCTTCTCCACCAACTCATATCGATGATGATAACATTGATGTTGCTGATTCTAATGCCTCCGATAACCATCCAACAACCAATTGTGAAAATGTACAAACATCTACAACAAAAAATAAACAAACAAATCCATCCAAAACGACAACGAATATAAAATCAACAAACTCACGACACCACCAACATCATCACTCGGTAACAACTGCTAATTCCAACAATAACCACAACAGCAATCACCATCAGCAGCAACAACAGCTATCGGGTGGCTCAAGTTCCCAGTCATTGCAACAACAACAACAACATTTCCATGGACCAAATTATTATAACGGTCGCAGGGGAATAAATCTACAGGCCAGTAGTGATTTTAACAGTTTTCGACGCAACAATCTTAATAATAACAACAACAATATGGCGATGACACACCGCAGTGGTGATTTTCATCAATTTGGTGACCGTTACAATCACAATCGAAATTATAATGGTAGCAACATAAGCAACAACAATAATGCCTCAAACTCAGGACTATGTGATCGAAATGGTCACAGCAACGGTGTTAACAATTTGGTGAGTTCAAGATTATAGTTTGTAGTAGTTCTATCTCGGATTTTACTACAATATTTCAATCTAGTTCATTTCTATTATAGTTATTTGTGCGAAAAGTGTTTATTTTTATGAATCTGAAATTTTGCAATTTTTTATTAATCGAATGCCAAATTTCATATGTATTTCACAGCACATGGATGGTTATAATATGGCCGGTAGCAGCGGTTCTCGTATTTCGGATAGCGATAGCAATTCGAATTTTTCTATGGGGAACAACAATCGTAATGGCGGCGGTACCAATAATTCATACAATCGTTCGCAATATTATCACAACCATGGAAATCAATTTAATAATGGACCATCAACGTCTGCTTCAGCATTAGCTGGGGCATCATCGCTATTAGATGGACCATCTGGATCCGGAGGTGGTATATCAGGTTCTACTAACTCTTTAAATGGTACGAATGTCTTGAAATCGGACAGTCCTTCAAGAAAACGAAGACGTATTTCGGGACGTATGCCCAGTCAATCACCACCTGCTATATGGGAGCAAAGACGTTCTCCGCGTATATTGGTAAGTTGTTAGATAAATATATATATTTACATACATACATACATTCATATATTGTATATCAATAATAATTTTAGTTACAACAGGGAAGCCCACCTATACGACGACCACGCCTCAGGGACTCTAGTTCGGTTGCACAAAATTCAAATTATTTCAATAATGGTTATCATCATCCCCACCAACAGCAACAGCATAATCATAATCAACAATTACAACAGCAGCAACAACAGCAGCAGCAGCAACAACAAGCGCAGCAGACAAATCATGTCAACCAACATTATATACAGCAACAGCCTGTCCAACATCGTTCCACTTGGGAATTAACTGCTGCAGCGGCCAATGCGAATGCTGGTCCCTCGGTTGCTCTAATTCATACTCCACCACCCGCCCATCATCAACAAGCACAAAGTCCAGCTGGTTTGCCACCACCACCGCCACCTCTTATGGTTGATATAAATCAAGTTCCCGTTAGTTTGTCACTACGTCATGCCGAACCCATATGGGCCTCGATTTGCACGTATCCTGCTCAACCACCACAACCTCGTCTAGCTCCTTGTCATCTACACAGTATATATACACAGCCCTTCACTGCTCAAGCTGCCTGCAATTCACACCCCCATGCCCAGTTTGCATCGAATGCTACCGGCTTCACAACAGCCACCAGTGCTCCCCTGCAAGTCGCTCAAGCTCCACAACATTTGGCTGCCGCAACGGCAGCAGCAGCCCAACAACAGCATCAGTCACAACAAGCAGCCGCTTTAGTAGCAGCTGCTACAGTAGCTGCAGCTAATTATCAAAATACTACCCATCTAACGCAACAACAGCGTTCGGATGCTGCTGCAGCAGCCGTTGCTAGTTTATCGTTAGATCCAGCTGGCGGACATCATCATCACCATGCCCAGGGTGTGGCTACTGTGCCTCAATTACAAGCCACTCCCATACATTTGACTTCTATGTCGGCTGCAGCAGCGGCCCATCATTCACATTCCATAGTAGCAGCCGCCGCTGCTGCTGCTCAGGTCTCACAGCTTTCGGCTGCACCACAACAAATTATTATCTCTACAGAAGTAAGTAAATATTACATTGACTTTTGAATGTATGTTTTCATAATTGAAATCTTTACAGAGACGTACATTCCCTCCACATCGCCGCATTACACGCTTCTGGCCCGCCAATCATCCACATGGTCCTCACCGGCATGTCTTGCCACCTCAAGCTTTGGGTCCACATCAAGCTACCCCAGTTCAGATACAAACAACTGGCATTATAAATCCAGGATTTTTGCTTAATTTCTTGTAAGGAATTGTTACATTTGTTTTCGAAATTTTTATTTATACATTTTTTTATTTTAGGGCCATGTTCCCCTTGTCACCGTATAATCAACATGAGCTTAGCTCCACCGATTCCAATGAAACCGAAAATTATGAAGCTTTGCTAAGTTTAGCCGAACGTTTGGGTGAAGCTAAACCTCGTGGATTGGCTCGTAATGAAATTGAACAGTTACCAAGTTATAAATTTAATCCGGAATCACATAATGGTAAGAGGGGAAGACAATTGACATGTTTTAAATATAGTGTATATTACAAATTTCTAAATATTTTGTTATAGGCGACCAGACATCTTGTGTAGTTTGTATGTGTGATTTTGAATTATGCCAAATACTACGTGTTCTACCATGTTCTCATGAGTTCCATGCCAAATGCGTTGACAAATGGTTAAGGGTAAGTGTTTAAGTTTGTGTATATGCAATCAAAAAATTAAATCTAAAATTTATTATTTTAATAACTGCAGTCAAACCGAACTTGTCCCATATGCCGTGGCAATGCCTCGGATTATTTTGATAATCCAGAACGTCAACAACAAACAAATCAAACAGCAGCAGTAAACAGCAATAATAACAACAACAACAACAACAATACCACAACAAATAATAACAACAATAACATAACAAATAATAACAACAACACCAATAATGCTACAACTGCTGCTACAACAACACCAACAGTCCCAGCAAACAGTCAAACAACACAAGCCCATTGAGCACTGTCCCAACAAATACAAACAGACAGACCGATGTTTAAACCAACACAACGAAATTTGGTGTTTCCTTTAATTTAGTAAACTTTTGATCCCGCTTTTTTTGTAAAGTTGTAGACACACCTCCTTCCTTTTTGCTAATTCTGAATAATAAAAAACTAGAGACGAGTATAAAAATAAATTTTTAAAAAATAATAATAAAAAAACATATTATGCCACCAAGTTTTCTAATTATATTAGGAAAACCAAGTTAATTATTGTGCCCTTTCTTCACTATACAATTAGAATTAAAATATAAATTTTAAACAAAAAATCGAAAAAAAAATAATATTGCATAATAAAAATGTGTATTAAATATTAAAAAAAAGCAACAAAAAATATATTTTTTTCTTAATTGCTCTTCTAAATATTTAATTTTACTTTTCTCTAATATATATGAGATAATAATTTAAACAAAACTGAAGTTTTTAAAACAAATTAACGCTCTGTCTTTAATATAAATTTATATTATATAATCCTAATAATAAAAAGTGTTCAAATTGTTCAAAATGTCCACTTTGTATTTATGTAGTCCACTTACAATACCACCAAACTATGCAACTATTATAATAATATTATTAGTCTTTTTTAATGTTTTATTCTTTTTTGTTTGTTTTTTACATATATTTTTTTTTTAACAAATATCACAAAATAATTATAAATATTTAAATTCGATTAGTTGTGAAAGCTTTATTTTTTTAACATTAATAGATTTTGCTTAAAAAAACCAACAACAACAACTTATTAAAACATATATACGAAATATATTTTATGTACTAAATACAATATTATACAAACATACATATGCATACACTATTATATACTATATTTTTTTTAGCTTAAATTGTGAAAATTTTAAATAAAATTATAAATTTTAATTGAAATATTAAGATTTTTTTTTTTTTTTTGATTTTTCCAAAGAAATTTTTGTAACTATTTTGTGTTTACAGACTAACCGCCATTTTGTCATTACCAAAACGATTTATAGACAGTTTTCATAAAATTTTTTTTAACTGGCATAATATTTGCCGTTTAAACGATAACCGGATATTGAGATTATGGCGCTAAGTTTATTCCAAAAATATTTTTTAATAGAAAAATATTTTTAAAAACTTAAGTTCTAATTTAGATTTGATTTGCAACAATATTTCAAATTTATGAAAATTTTACATTTTTTAACATAGAGACCAACGTATGCTTCTCTAAAAAAGAAAGAGCTGCGTTGAATCCGAATCCGTCTTCAGAATTCCTCCATTACAACAAGTTTTTAAGAGATATCGTGTCCTTAAAATAGAAAAAAAAAACTTTTTTTTTCCATCTTTATGACACGATATCTGGAAAACATGATCTGATAAAGAAATTCTGATTGAGCTCTGCTTAGTTATTTAGAAAAGTGCGACTTGATCGATTGATTCGATTAAAACTTTTCCAATAAAACATCAATAACATTATTGATTCTTTATGAATAAAGGGTTATAGTTTTTTTAATAGCTTTTAAAATTTGTTGAACATACCTTCGGATTTTCGAACATGTAGAATTTTATATACATAGAACATTGAAACCAAATGAAATTGATACTTCTTTTAAAGAATCCGTTTTCTTCTACTTAAAAAAAATTCGAATCTGTACGTATAATTCGATTTGAATTACTGAATAACTGCAGTTGGTATTGTGTAAAAATTATTGATTACGTACGAGTCTTAAATGACACTTTTGTAGAGAGAAAATTTTCTCCTATGTGATATTTTACTAAAACACTATTTTCCTGCTTCTTCCAAAATGTGTATGGAATAGAATATAGAATCATGTATTACCTCTATTAATGAAAATCATGTAGGAGTCACTTTTTAAGGGTGATATTTTTCGATATAAAACAAAATCTTCATTCAAAGTCTTTACAGATTTCAATCACCCCTATTCTGTATTTCAATTCGAATCGAAATTTTGTCCGTATAGCATTGAAATAAAATGGAATTGTTTCTTCTTTTCCTTACGATTCCGTTTTTTGTTGGAATACCTATTTTCGATCGTGGAATAGGGGTGAATATCGTAATACGAATCCGGATTAATCAGTTTCAGCAGTCTAAGCAGTTTCAGTTACTTGCCAAACAATCTTGCAAATCCTTTAAATGCTACTATGATTTCAATCGATATCAAAAGTCTTAATTTGCGCCTTAACTAGAATCCTTTATTTTATTCGAAATCATGTGGTCGGTCGTATTCTTTAATGGGAATAAGCACTGAAATTCATATGTTTAAATACAAAATATTTGTGGTGTGACTTTGTTTAAACAAATTAAGAAGATTAAAAAAAGAAAATCCTAAAAATATAGCAACACTTTAACATTTATAAAAGGTGATTTATAGAGTTTCATTTTTTGAATTTAAAACTAATATTAAAAAATTAAAAAAAAAAAACAATAAAAATTAGTAAACATAAAAGCAATCTCTTTTCCCCTCCCCCTCAAAAAAGTGAATTTTAGATTTATAAAAATATCCAAAATTTAAAAGAAAAATATATAATAATTTTTTTACTAAACCAAATGGCTTTTTTAAAACAGACTTAAATTTTGAAAGGAAAAATAAACCTAAGTAGCAAAAGCAAACAGAATTTAGGCCAACTATAACAAATTAATAAAATATAATTAATAACTACATATTGCATTAAAATCTAAATTTAATTTTTATATTAAAAAACAAAAAGAAAGCACTTAAAAAATTTTAAAAGAAAACAAACTGTTCTCAGTATAAAATAACAAAATATATTAAAAACAAAATATATATCAGACATATTTATTGGTATTTTTTTAATAGTTCTTAAAAATATAAACAAAAAATAAACAAAATAAAATAAAATTATATATTTTTCCCCTATTTTGAAATTTATATAAATTATTTATGGATTGATTTATTTATTAAAAAAAAATAAAATTTAAAACAATACAAAATAAAACAAATAACATGTGACTTGTGTGTATTAGAGTAGAAAGTTTATTATTAAACAAAATAAATAATAAAAAAAAACTAAAAGATTTTAATGTTAGCAACTTAATACCAAAACAATAACGAAAATTAAAAAAGAAATATTAATAATTTAAAATTAATTATACTATGACAAAATATATAACAAGCAAAAGAATATTAAAAAAACTAATATTAAATATAAAACAACAACAAATAATTATGAAAATGATTCCTGCCCTCCATTTGCAACTAGTATTTATTTATGTAAAAGTCTTATTATATACTATATTTAAATGTATGTAAAATTTAACAAAAAAAAAATACAAACAAAAAAAAACTAATGCAAATTTTCAATATTAAAAGAAACAAAATAAACAGTAATTATTAATATTATAAAATATTTAAGACAAAATTTGAACTTAAACATGTTTGCTTTTTTGTGCTAAAAAAAATAATTAACAAAGAAAAAACAAAACTACAAACAAATACGTTTAATAATACTTGAATTAAAACATAATTGTAACCTATAGACTAAAGTAAACCTTACGAAATCAACGATTTGATCTTAATCTTAATCATAGTTTTTGAAATCACTTAAAACAAACTCCCTTTTTATTATTATTACTGATTAACTTAGTAACTTTCTTTTCATCTTAAAAAAAAAAACTATCACAAAAAAAAAAACACTAAATTATAATACAACTCGGGGTTCCTTTTAAAACAAATATAAGAACCATTTTAATTCAGCTTTTTGAGGGTTTTCACATTCATAAAATTATACAAATCTTTTAATTTTATGAATACATGTCTCTAAATGGGCCTCGACATGTTAAATAGCTTTTAATATAAAGTTGTTGAAATAGAAACGGTTCCTACCAGGAACCAGTCACGGACCTTCCCTCTTTTAATATTTAATTTAGTTCAGTTCTAGTTCAGTTCTAGTTCAGTTCTAGTTCAGTTCTAGTCAGTTCTAGTTCTAGTTCAGTTCTAGTTCAGTTCTAGTTCAGTTCTAGTTCAGTTCTAGTTCAGTTCTAGTTCAGTTCTAGTTCAGTTCTAGTTCAGTTCTAGTTCAGTTCTAGTCCAGTTCTAGTCCAGTTCTAATTCAGTTCTAGTTCAGTTCTACTTCAGTTCTAGTTCAGTTCTAGTTCAGTTCTAGTTCAGTTCTAGTTCAGTTCTAGTTCAGTTCTAGTTCAGTTCAGTTCTAGTTCAGTTCTAGTTCAGTTCTAGTTCAGTTCTAGTTCAGTTCTAGTTCAGTTCTAGTTCAGTTCTAGTTCAGTTCTAGTTCAGTTCTAGTTCAGTTCTAGTTCAGTTCTAGTTCAGTTCTAGTTCAGTTCTAGTTCAGTTCTAGTTCAGTTCTAGTTCACTAGTTCAGTTCAAGTTCAGTTCTAGTTCAGTTCTAGTTCAGTTCTAGTTCAGTTCTAGTTCAGTTCTAGTTCAGTTCTAGTTCAGTTCTAGTTCAGTTCTAGTTCAGTTCTAGTTCAGTTCTAGTTCAGTTCTAGTTCAGTTCTAGTTCAGTTCTAGTTCAGTTCTAGTTCAGTTCTAGTTCAGTTCTAGTTCAGTTCTAGTTCAGTTCTAGTTCAGTTCTAGTTCAGTTCTAGTCCAGTTCTAGTCCAGTTCTAATTCAGTTCTAGTTCAGTTCTACTTCAGTTCTAGTTCAGTTCTAGTTCAGTTCTAGTTCAGTTCTAGTTCAGTTCTAGTTCAGTTCTAGTTCAGTTCTAGTTCAGTTCTAGTTCAGTTCTAGTTCAGTTCTAGTTCAGTTCTAGTTCAGTTCTAGTTCAGTTCTAGTTCAGTTCTAGTTCAGTTCTAGTTCAGTTCTAGTTCAGTTCTAGTTCAGTTCTAGTTCAGTTCTAGTTCAGTTCTAGTTCAGTTCTAGTTCAGTTCTAGTTCAGTTCTAGTTCAGTTCTAGTTCAGTTCTAGTTCAGTTCTAGTTCAGTTCTAGTTCAGTTCTAGTCCAGTTCTAGTTCAGTTTCTAGTTCACTAGTTCAGTTCAAGTTCAGTTCTAGTTCAGTTCTAGTTCAGTTCTAGTTCACTAGTTCAGTTCTAGTTCAGTTCTAGTTCAGTTCTAGTTCAGTTCTAGTTCAGTTCTAGTTCAGTTCTAGTTCAGTTCTAGTTCAGTTCTAGTCCAGTTCTAGTCCAGTTCTAATTCAGTCTATTCAGTTCTAGTTCAGTTCTAGTTCAGTTCTAGTTCAGTTCTAGTTCAGTTCTAGTTCAGTTCTAGTTCAGTTCTAGTTCAGTTCTAGTTCAGTTCTAGTTCAGTTCTAGTTCAGTTCTAGTTCAGTTCTAGTTCAGTTCTAGTTCAGTTCTAGTTCAGTTCTAGTTCAGTTCTAGTTCAGTTCTAGTTCAGTTCTAGTTCAGTTCTAGTTCAGTTCTAGTTCAGTTCTAGTTCAGTTCTAGTTCAGTTCTAGTTCAGTCTAGTTCAGTTCTAGTTCAGTTCTAGTTCAGTTCTAGTTCAGTTCTAGTTCAGTTCTAGTTCAGTTCTAGTTCAGTTCTAGTTCAGTTCTAGTTCAGTTCTAGTTCAGTTCTAGTTCAGTTCTAGTTCAGTTCTAGTTCACTAGTTCAGTTCAAGTTCAGTTCTAGTTCAGTTCTAGTTCAGTTCTAGTTCAGTTCTAGTTCAGTTCTAGTTCAGTTCTAGTTCGGTTCTAGTTTAGTTCTAGTTCAGTTCTAGTTCAGTTCTAGTTCAGTTCTAGTTCAGTTCTAGTTCAGTTCTAGTTCA